TCCACATTCAACTGATGAAACCCGTAGGAGGTAACCAAGGGGTTATGGAAGACTTCAAGAATTGTAGGCGAGTAGAATCCCCTATAGAAGGATCAGAGATTAAGGAGTCCTTAGGAATAGAAACATCCTTATTCTTTGCTAAATACCAAGAGGCAGCCTAACTCTTGTAAGAAGAATAATTCAGTCTGATCGAGCTTCCCCCCTTCAAAAACTATGTAATTCCTGAATTTCCAGATTGTCCAAATAACAGCCCTGGAATGAAAGTCCAAATTACCGAATTAGATTTCAACTCATCCCAAGCAAGAAGAAAATTTTTTGCTTCTGCAGAAAACAGAACTAAATCTCCAGAAATTTAGAAATTTATTCCACAAAGACCACGCAACCGAACAGGAAAGAACAGATGCGAAGAAGATTCTTCAACCATTTACAAAGAGGACATAAGCCCCTCAATACCTTGAACTCTCTTTTAACCATTCGGATTTAACTGCAATTTTTGAAGCACAATTTGCCAACTAATGTTTCACTCTAGGGGGAACCAATCCTCCCAAACAATCTTGTTCCAGAAATGAGTCTCTTCTGAAATTGAAGCACAACTCTTAATACAAGAACCGACTGTATAAACCCCATCCCCACTGCCTTTCCAGATCATCCATCGCTAGAATCAATAGATATAGAGAAAGAAGAAATGATGCTCACCCAAATTGCACCATTGTTCAAGCTCCCAATCGTTTAAATTTCTTCGAACTTAACATCCCAAATCCAACCCGAAGAAATAAATTCCCCGAACTCACAAAGTTTACCGAATTTATTAGTTGACAGTGAAAACAGTCTAGAAAAAATCGAAGTGGAAAATCAGCAGCCCAACTATCTTGCCAAAATCGAACATGCTTACCATTTCCGACATAAAACTTGAACAAACTACGAAACTTACAACCAAATGAGTCTTGTTTGAAATGGTTATTAACCACTGATCTCCACAACCAGGAGGATTGAGAAGGAATCTTGCTGTCAAACAACAGTCTAGAAGAGTCAATATTGTATTTGCTACAAATAAAATTTCTCCAAACATAATTTCTCTCATTTGCAAACCTCCAAGACCATTTCCCTAGCAATGCTCTGTTCATAAAAATCAGATTCCGAACTCCCAAGCCTCAGTCTTTGATTTGCAGACATCATCCCATTTAACCCAGTATCTTCTTAATACCATTGCCCCCTCCCCATAAGAAATTAGACATAATAGAATTGAGAGTCTTGAGGATAGAAGCTGGAATCTAAAAATAGACAAAAAATACGTAGGTAGTGAGGACAGAACGGATTTGATCAAACCAGTCTCCCTGCTAAAGAAAGAGTAGCAGCCTTCCAACCTGCTAATTTAGAGTGAAAATTCTGTACCACTGGTTCCCAGATAACAGAGGAATTCCTAGTTGCACCTAGAGGGAGGCCTAGATAATTAGATGGAAAGTTTCCCACCAAACAACCGATAGAATCTGCCCAAGTTTTAACCTCCTGTTGGGATATATTAATCCCGAAGAGTCTGCTTTTCTTCAGGTTTAGTTGCAGCCTGACATAAACCTCGAATACTCTAAGCACCCTCTTCACATTCATAATTTGAGTCTTCGAAGCTCCACAGAAAATAATAAGTCATCCGCAAACTGCAAGTGTGAAAGATTAAAAGACCCCTCCTCCTTTTCCAACTGTCAAACCAGCAAAACCCTCCGAAACAGCTCTTCGAATTAAAAGATTCAATAATTCCCCCACTAAGTTAAAAGTAAAGGCGAGAGTGAACATCCCTGTCTAAGACCTTGGCCATTGGAACTCCTCGGATGGAACCCCATAACTAACCTGAGATTGAAGCTGTAGAAACACATCTCCTAATCCAACTTATCCATGTGAAACCAAAACCCATTTTTTCCATCACTTTGAACAAGATAGGCCAGTCAACCGTATCGTATGCCTTTTTGAAATCAACTTAAACACAACCCTTTAGCCCTTCTTCCTCCAATAATCAATACCCTCGTTAGCAATGATGAGCAGTCCAAAATTTGTCTACCGGGAATAAAGCGAATTGAGTCGGGCTTATAAGATCTTCTATACAAATTCTAAGCCTCCTTGAAAGACACTTGGATAATATCTTATACACTCCTCCTACTAGGCTTATAGGTCTATAATCATCAGACTTCCAATGTTAGATTCCTTAGAATAAGGGTAATAAAAGTATGGTTAATACCATGTTCCCATTCTTTCCCTACAAAAAATCTGTGAAAAAACTGCATAATATTCCCCTTAAGAACAGACCAAACCTTTTAAAAAAACCCAAATTCAATCCATCGGGCCCCGGAGCTTTATTACTATCACAGACTTTAGAGTTCCCAAACCTCCTCCTCGGAAAACTCCTTCTCTAAAAGCATATTCTGTTCAAAAGAAATTCTGGGGAAGACCAAACCAATATCTTCAACTTCTAAAGTAGACCGATCATTATAAATTTTGAAAAAATGATCTTTGACCTTGGCTTTAATAACAATTGGATCGTGAGTAGTATTCCCATCAACAATTAAAGCATTCAGAGCATTTCGTTTCCTCCTAACTGAAGCACAAGTATGAAGAATCTTGTGTTCGGTCCCCATCATTAAGCCACTTCTTCCTAGAATTTTGAAGCCAAATCTGCTCCCAATTCTGTGAAGTCTCCATAACTCTGCTCTACAACACTAAGCTCTTTAGCAATCCCCTGAACAGAGCTGTTATTCAGCTGCTGGGCGTCTTCCTCAAGCTTCTGAATTTTCTTTTCCAAATCTGATATTGCTACTCCCGGAAATTGATTCTTCTTCCCTGACCATTTCTTGATGGCAGCTTTAGAGTTCTTCAAATACTTAAGATCCCACCTTTCTCCCAGTCTTCTTACAATCTGTGATAGAATGTCTGACCATATCCTCAAAGCCGTCTTCCTCCATCAGATAATTAAAGAGTCTAAACGGTCTTTTCCCCCAATCAATATCTCATCTTTCAATAAAATAGCATTGTGATCTGAAGGGATTTAGGAATAAGAGACTGAGAAATCTCAGGAAAAGTAGCTAAAAATTGACCATCCACCAAAAATCTGTCCAATCTAACAAAAGGTTGGATCATCTTGGTTATTACACCAAGTGAACCTTCCCCCATTCAAAGGCAGATTAATCAAACCTAAAGACTGAATAAACTGAGCGAAAATCCTCATAGAGAACCTATTCTGTGCTTTACCCACCTTCTCATCTTCACACAAATAAACATTAAAATCTCCTCCAACACAAACCGGCAGGTTCTGTCCAGAGATAAACACACTGAGTTCTTCAAAAAAACTCTCTTTTTCTTCCTCCACTGAAGGGCCATAAACATTAATGAGAACACTTCTGAATTGATGCAGCCTGAATTTCCCACAACAGCAATGAATCTTCTGTTAATGCAGTGATTTTCCATCTCAAAACATTGTCATCCCAACAACATAATAAGCCCCCTGAAGAACCATAGCTGGAGATTCATAACACTCTGAAGATTATTCAGTCCATTCCTTCTCAGAAAGGACCTTTGAACCTTCTCTACTTTAGTTTCTTGTAACCAAAGAAAAGAAGGGATATGAGGTAGAGACCAATCTCTGACTGCTTTATGTTTTCTCTTTCCCCAAGCCCCTAACATTCCATGAAATTATTGCTAATTTGTCTTTCATAAAAATTTCTTGAGAACCTGACTTCCCCACTATGGCAACTCAACTGGCCAAATTCAAGCCCTGTTCTAATTTAATTATTTGTCCAGAAAAGCTCCTTCCCCTTAGTAAAAGAGACCCCAAAATCTGACTCACTTGCCATGTGGCTACTGCTTCATCTAAAATCTCTGAAAATCTGTAGAAGAGGCTGTAGAAATATCGACATGTTCTAGAGCTTCTCTTACCATGATCTTCTTGCCTTCTTTTGCAAAATCCTGATTTGGAAATATCAAATGACTGTCCGTCACAACCCTCTGGCTTTCCATCGAGACTACTAATCCCAGCTTTCTCTACTAAATTTGTCTCCTCTCTGCCTGGAGAATTAAGCTCTGCTGCTGTAGAAATTTTTTGATTTGGCGTGCAGACCTGATCACAAACTCTGTTTTGAACTGGAACAACCTCTGTACCATTAGTTTCCTTATGAATCTCCCCATGCCATTGTTTTCTCTCCCTCCTTCTATAACTTTGCTGTAACTGGCCATTCTCCTTCTCTGTAGAGGCTCACTTTTGTGGATAGCGAGCTTCTACGCACACCATTGCTTTATTTCTTAACTGGCTTCAAACAATTCGAGTTAGAACTATCAGCGAAAAATTAGGATCAGGAACCTCAATATCTACACTGGCGGACGAAGCTGAAATGCAACTGGGTCCCTTTATTCTTGTTTTTAACACTGCTAGCCTCTATAATTCCCCTGTTTTTAACCAGTTTACCAAACTTGTTAATTGTATATCCTGGCCCAGAAGGAAAAAGCTTGAAGCCTCCGATCCAGTCAGCTCATTGTCAACAGATAGGGCCTCGGCCCATTAGCCGAAATATTTGAATTTCTGATGCCCAAACCTGCAAACTCACCTACTATGGTATTCCCACCATTCTGAACACCTGACAACCCTCTTTTAATGCCTTTCCCATGTTTAGAAAGTCTTGGAAAGTGCATTTCCCATCAGACTGTGCTGTGCCGAAAGAGACACCATCATCATTCCATAAGTCAACCTTCTGTCTGAACATCTCTGCTGATTTGACTGAACTTTCCTCATATTCTGACTTCTCCCTGACTACCTTCCTCAGACCCCAACTCGCCATACTGTTTCCCATCTGCACGATCACCGGAAAAAATTTGAAAAAAGGATTTGCAACTTCCCATCCCTCTCCAACTTTGATCTTAATCCGATACGATCTGCCATAGGATCCAAAATTTGAATTCTGGAACATCGAAAGGACTTGCAACTCGCAAAAGAATCCTCACGACGAGATCCTCCTGTTCTTAGTGGACTCATGGATTTCTACCATACTTCCCCATCTTCCAGCAGCTCGTTCCAAGAAGATTCATCCCAACATAACAGAGGAACCCCTTAACTCCAGCTGACAATAAGCCATTGGAACACCTTCTTCATTCAGTAAAGGTGCTAATCTATCAAAACAGAAGTTTATTACAACTCTCTTCTTTGTCCATGCCTCCATCATTTCTTCGAGAGATTTGAAAATGATAACACAGGAATTACGGGCATAACCCCAACCAACAATCTGAACTTCGTAACCATTCGTAATGAAGAACTCCTGAACTGACTTAATATCTAAGAGAGCTTAAAATCCCCGTTAAAGATCTTTTGACCCAGTTCCGATTCTCAGAGGGAATATGCATTTCCATAACATTCTTCAGTGCTTTCTCCCTTTGATTCCCAACAGAATGTGTCTCCCTATGCCCCAAAGTATTGTTCCTCATATCCTCAGTCAGTAAAGCCTCTTTGTACGATCTGTCATCCCTAACACTCCTACTGGAAAAATCAGCCTCTTTCAACTTTGAAGGACCTGCTGTAATCGAAACTGAACCCAACTGAACTGGACTATTCTTGGCCACATTCCTTGGACGAACTTCATTGTATTTTGCAACACCAACTGAAATCCTTCTCCCATCTATCAGTGAATCATTTAACATATCAATTGCTCTCCTCAAACCAGATTCCCTCTCAAACTGTACAAAAGCGAAAGTGGAAATCTATATTTTGGGTTTTTAGTTCTTTCGGGATGAAAACTCTCCACAGTTCCCTGAGACGAAAAATATCTCTAAGCTCACGCCGAGAAACTCTCCTACTTAGATTATCGACAAAAGCCTTCCAAACCTCGCTTGAACCTATTTTCCCTTTCAACTTTTCTCTCTCTCTCTCTACTTTTCTCTCTCCCATGTTTTTTCTCTGTTTGGCCTGGCCTTTCCATCCCAAGCGTTTTTCTGTGGTCATAATAAATTTTCCATTTTGATAATAATCAGGACAGACAAATGGGCTGAGACTGAAGTGGGATCTAAATGGGGAGATAAGTGGGAGGAGAAGTTTTTTGAGGGTATTGGTGCACGTCAAGGGGAGACATGGCATTTATCTCCGAGTGGCGAACGTATGTATAGTCATTTCATGTTATATATTTTGTGATGCATTATTTTACATGAGTTTTTTTTTCTTCAAGTTGAAGGTTTTACGTAATATCTTGTAGGTTGGACAAGTAGCCACATTGATTATCTTTATTGGCTCATGCCTGGTTGCAACCTTGTTAGTTAGCTACTCCTTAAGCAAATAATAATATAGGTATTTCCCAAAAGTTTGTAAATAGAATGACAACCATAGCTGTAGACCAAAACCTGTTTCTAATAATTGCTCATTGAAAATAAATATTTTTTAATCTCTCTCCTGGCACCTAAAACTTAACTTTTAACAGTCATAGTAAAATGCACAGTTGAATTGGTTTGTGTTAAATGTTAGGAGTTTTGACAATATTTTTAGGAAGACTATTTACTTTTGCAATGTAACTTTATTCATCCAAGGGTGAGAGAGGCCGGTAATTTATGTATAGGTATTTAACAAGTGTGTTCCTTTTTTCTTTAATGGGAAGTAAAAGCCTATTGGTTCAATATTGTTCCCTTTCATGTCATTGACAAATATCCCTATAATCATTCACATATTTTTGCAACTCTTGGTATAGAAATGGCCTAAGGAATTTTATGCCTTACTCAACCATTATGGTATTTCGCACATCTTTGTTTCTCATAAACTTTATTCATTTAACTTTTGTAACCAAGACATTCTGGTCTCATAGGTTGGTCAAGAACGTGGGGTGAGGAGCATTTCGGAAATGGGTATGGAACAGTTACTGGAACCCTTAAACTAACTCTTTCATGTTAGCTTAAAATTCCCATGTGTTTACAGCACATTTTCTTGTGCAAAATTGCATTCTGATTAATAGTTGGACTGTATTTATTTGTTTGTTTACCATCTCCATGTCTCTCTCTCATGCAATTTAACACAGGAGAAGCTAAAATTCCCTTTGTCTGGTAAACAGGAAAGTTCACAAGTATGGGAAGAGCACAACTGGTGAAAGCTGGGATTCAGTTGTTGAAGAGGAGACGTATTATGAGTAAGAACATTCTCTTTTGACCTTGTTAAAAATAGTTATACACACACACACACACACATCTGACGATTGATGGCTTATAATGAGATGATGTTCTCATTTTACATATCATCCAACTCAATTATAGTACTTAGAATTATACACAAACGCATCAAATATAAATGTATGTGTTTCTTGACAAGTTTTCATGTTTTGTTGAAGGGCTGAACCTCATTATGGATGGGCAGATGTGGTGGGCGACTCGAGCCAGTTGTTATCGATCAAGCCTCGGGAAAGGCCGCCTGGTGTCTTCCCCGAGCTTGATTTTGGGTCATCGATTCCTCAAGGTGATGACTAGCCTCTCTCACTTCAAATTGAGTAGAGGCCGCTTTCATTTTTGGTAAAATTTTTATTTATTTTGGTTAGGTGGTTTTAAATCAATTAACTACTATTAGTTGAAACATTTTTGGATTATTGGTTGATTTATAATTAGTTCTTTATAACTCTTTAAAGTT